ATATTTTATGAGCTATTTTTACAAATAGTACAAATAGTTAAATTTTACCAAAAGATGATAAATGATCTTCTCAACGACCGAAACGCGTAAAATCAATTTATTATATGCATTATCCAGTCGTTTACCAAGGCCTTCAAGTTTAGAGTAAATGTAGTAATTGTTGGCCTAACACTGGTTTTCGACCCTTCCCTACAAGTTGAACTGTTCCAAACTTAATGCTGATTTATCATTATTGCCAAGTGCATCCAAAATAGTGGAATTTTAATTTAACTGAATGAAACTGCAAAAAGGTCGAAAATTAGAGCACAGTCGAAAACTAGTACACTTACTCTACTGTATAAAACAAAAACTAATTTCTCCAATGCGAATTCAATAATGCGTACTGCGGTGGACAGTATTTCCGGCGAGTCATTGGATTCCACTATCACAATTCTTGTACTGCTTAATGGGATGCATCGCGTGACCGTGTGTCCAGAACCCCGCCGATGAAGATTGATACTCATGGATGGAGTTGCTCAAAAGATGCCGTAGTACACGTGCTTGGACCACACACATAAACGGATCCCGGACGGACGTAAAGATGATTTGCTTGAATCGGTTGTTTAAGACCGTCTATATATCCATCTCCTCTCGGCTTGAAATTATATTCAATACAGTGGTGAACCTGCATTTCATCGGTGCGATTCGCTTCCGTGTCGATGATGATCCGTAGAAACTGTGGTGGATTCCGGAAATCGTAAGTACAGCACGAAGTGATGCGATGCGAGCACTGCTTAATCCAAAAGAATGTAGTCAACTTTCAATCTATCAGATAACAATCATTTGCACTTACCATTATCAGCCTGGTGTAGAAGATCAATAGTCGAAAATCAGAAACTCGTCCACCAGTTCAAATTTGAGGAATGGGACATGCTTCGAAAATTGCGTCTTTTCACAGCTACCTACAATGAACTTCCTCCTCCCCGTCATCGTTCTTGGTGCAAGCGATCTTACACTTTCAACGAGAAGGCACCTATAGCTTGTTGTTGTTGGAATGCTGCCCAGCTGGTGACGCGGATCTACACAACAAAAGAACAAAGTATCAATCCTTGAAAAAAAAGATTCATTTACAGAATACTTCCCGTCATTCGTCTTCAGCTAAATGTACCTTTCCATGCGAAAAACTCTTTTTAGGACCACAACAAAACAACTCTTTTCGTATCGAACCGCGACTCGTAGCTTATGAATCGTTCGTATCGTTCAGATGCACTCGTTGCGAATGAAAATCAGCTGTGAATCGAGTTGCAGTTGAATTGCTCAAGTCAGTTTTCGTGCAGTAATGAACGGGTGGTGAGTGACTCTTGTTCAGTTGGAAAAGGTGGTAACTCAGCGAATGACAGATAGCAAAAGAGGAAGGACAAAAACAAAATAGGTCGAGTCATTCACTGAGCACCAACATTCGTGCATGAAGAGAGGAGCGCCTACAGCGACAGCGTCTTATCGTTTGTGAGCAGGTGAACGGACGAGACACGATTCGTTGCGATAATCAGCAACCTTGCAACCAACTCTTAAACTTATGAGTTACGGTCAACGGTACGAAAAAGGTCAAGTAGCCAATGACGAAACACGTCAGCTGACACGTTCACTCTTACAAGATTTCCATCTGTTCAGTGAACCAAAAAAACCTCAATAAGATAAGTAATAAAGCAGAACGAAAGCTACCTTAAGGCCCACCCACATTAGATCCGTTTGCGTTGCGTTGACGTAAATTTGACAATTAGACAATAGATTTAGCTGTCACTTTGCCACAACGCGTCAGATCCGGATCTAATGTGCGTGGGCCTTTATAGCTTCTGATTATAATACTATTCTAGCGTTCAGGATCATAAGGGCCTTACTGCGATGTTTGATTCTCTTAATCGATTTTCTCATCTGTTAATAACTCGGCCAGTTTAGCATTTTTCGGTGCGTTTGATGTTACTTTTACTAGCTAATACATATTTTTAATTGATTGTACTGGAATAATTTCGGAAAATTTCTTCATATAACTGTAGAGAAAATCGATAAATAGAACCGAGTTAGGCCCTTATGATTCTGAACGCTGGCATTAGTTTTGTCAGTTTCGTTTAATGTACACATTTATTTCTATATCTACATTATTAAGTGATCAAATTGCCTTTGGATTACTGTACCCCTGAAAAGTTTAAAATGCGTTCCAAAATCCTTCGCCACCATGGCTGACTAAAATTTAAATCGATGATTCGCACGAATGATGGAACTAGGCTTGTAAATTCCACGCCACGCTTGCACCTCGTGCGGCCATTGAAAAGCCCAATATTGTCCACCCAACCCAACCTGGCCCTTTTGCGCCACGCCGGCATTGTCGGCGTCGTTAGGCAAGGCAAACCAGAGTCAAATACTTTAATTTCCTCCATTTAACGAGCATAATGTGCGCGATGCTCCGACCGCAACATCGTCCTACAACACTACCCAGTTGGTATGGGGCTGTGTGTTTTTACTGCTTCAATGCCCCGAGATGCTGCATTCCCCGACGACGACGGTAGTTGGTTGTCCTTGCCATTGCCACCGTCACCGGCCATCCACCCGGACGAATGAGTCGTTTGGGACACGTACAGAGAAGTCTCGTTAAAAAGTTTGCACGTTTATTATTATGACCACTTTTTCGTGGATGGGCGGTTGGGTGGGCTATGAGCGAATGGCTTCTGACAATCTGAGCACAAAGAGCACCTCCAGAAACCTTCCGCAGGCGTTAAATTGAATGTGCTAGTGCGAGGGATGGGATTACTACAAAATTGCGGAGCTGGTTCATTGATTTTCCATCACATCACATTATAGAAAATCAACTTCACCGGAGCAGCTGACATGTGCGCGATTTAGTTTTTCCAGTCCATAAAGCAACGACAAGTTATAAATCATAAACCAGCGTAAGCATTTTAGCGTGCTTTCGATGGGCTTCCAGATCCCGCGTGGTGTCGACTCTAATCGCCGTCACACATGTGTCAAGCAATTAATTGAGTTATAATGAGTTTCAAAATAACTTCTAAATTGCTTTTCAAAAGTGACACTCAGCACTCACTCACAGGCAGCGGGAGCAGTTTAATCTGCTTCTTCAAAGTGGGGATCGTATGACTGTGCTCCGCGTGGGTGCGAGTGGCAGAGACGTCCTCTGCGTGGACCATTCATCCCGATGATGATGTTAAACTTTTGCAATGTTGACACGGGAGAAAAGAGTTCAAGTTTCCTTCAGCAAGCGTAAGCAATTTTACGTTACGTCCCCCGTGCCAGCTGCTCTGGAGTTGATTGAAAGTTTTACGAGGGCACAAAGTTTGCACCATCATCATCGTCATCAGCATTCTCAATGCCACCGTCGTCTTCGTTGACGCACCGTGATTCGGGCAGTTTACGAAAGTGTTACTCCGGGGCGTGATTCGTACCTAAGTTTAATCATCTCAATAAAAGGAAAACTTTCTAATTCATTGATGGAACACCGAGAACAGTGCTCCTAGGGATGAATTACAATTTCATTACGTTGAGCAGCAATTGTGCAGACTGAATCGCCCTGTCAGGAGAAGTTTTCAATTAAATTGCCAAGGTTCAATATATATGCTGGTGGACGGGGATCGACGGGGGATGTTGTTCGTATCAAAGTGACAGCGGACAAACTGGGTGGATGTAGATTTTTTTTTTGTGCGTCACTTACGAAGATGGGAGGTAGTGTCGAAGCAGATGACACCCGATTTACGTCGGTTACCAAGCGTGACAATGACGTGCTACATGTTCATCAATCCATGTGAGCTTTCGAGCACGGATGGTGAAGATATTTGCGTGTGAATGGAAGTGGTATTGGGTTCAATTTGGTTCCCAAATCTTATGCCTTAGTCTGAAAAATTCAGGCTTAGTGTTGATGGGGATGCCAGGGAGACCAGGAAATGTGTAGTCAATTGAAATTATCAACATTAGGGTAGGTCAAGTTGGTATGGTGGATCACAACCCCTTGTTTTCCACTGCTCTTTAGATCTGTTTAGAGGTCCTAAAAAAATGCGCCAAATTTGAACGAATTCGGTTATGATCTGGATTTGTATGGAAAACGGAACGAAACTATTCTTATGAATATTAATAATTCAAAAATTGCTAGGTTTTCATTAATCCTGGATCAAATATTGGGAAAACTATGCAGAACAACCTTGTCGAGGACCGCAAATCAATTCGACTTATGTGGAAAAAGGTATTATTATTTTTTTTTCGACCTAGTGCTCCGGTCATACAAGTTTATGTATAAGACTGTAGGTATGTGCGGAGCACTTGGCCTTAGGGCAAGTGAGCCAGTTTTGGGCCTTGGTCCAGTAATTGGCCTTAGTGAATAAATCATTAAAATTATACGATGCTACACAAATATAGATCTCTGAATGGTTATAATTTCAAAGAGCAATACATACTTGAGCTATAGGCAAAAGTTGCAATGTTTTACAATTAAAATTGAAGCGATGGGACTTGTCTGAAGTAATGACTCTGTCATATGACAAAAATTCGTTAACCATATGGCTAAAAGTCAGTCACTTTAATTTAGTGTGTAACAATGGAAATGTGGAGTAAATAATTTGATTTAGCATGTAATTGTTGAGTCAACTATTCAAGTTTTATACTTTAAAGCAAAAGAAGTCGATATTTCGCTTTATTTTATACTTTTTAACTACGGCCAAAAACTGGACGATCAGATCATAGTGTGCGCTAATTGGCACTAGTATGATAGCGAGCCTTTGACAGCGTTTATTTTTGGTTTTTGCTAATAGTTCTTCGGTTCGGAATTCCTACTTCAATTTGAATTAGATCGTATTTCAAGGTAAGGAGAAACATTGTTTCATAACTTGACCAGTGTACGACTATGATTTTTTTTAGTGAAATGGGAAAGACGGCTGAGAAACCCAGGAGTGAAAGGTGCGTAGAAGAGTCAATACAGCTTTGCATCCAACGAATACAAGATGGAATGTCCCGCCACACAGCATGTAAAAAGTATGGTTTTCCGGTATCAACAATCCAGTATAGGATAAGCGGCAAGTGGAAGAATCAAATCACCCGGGGACCACGATCGGTACTGACGGATTCAGAAGAGAAGAAAATAATTCAGTGGTTAACCAACATGCAGGAAAGGGGGTTTCCGGTCTCACAAGCAACTTTAAAATTCAAAGTGAACGAATTCATTGTGCAAGACTCTCGGAAAACACCTTTCAAGGATGATAAACCAGGTAAGCAACAGGTCATCCTGGGTAATGAGTTACAAAATGACATCAAATTATGGTCTTAGGGCGAAAATGGTTCAAATCGTTCATGCGCAGAAATCCTGGGTTTTCTTTGCGCACACCGGAATCTATAACAACTGCCAGTGCCCGTGTAAGTGAAGGTGACATCCGAGGATGGTTTACCATAACAAAGGATTGGATAGAGAAGAACGATGTCTCAGAGATACTGCTAGATGCTTCTAGAGTATGGAACGGTGATGAGACATCGTTTTACCTCCACCCAAAAACGAGAGAAGGGATCGCTCGAAAAGGATCTAGAAACGTTTACGAAGTGGAGCAGGCTGCAGGAAAACAAAATGTTACTGTAATGTTCTCCTTTAGCGCGGCAGGTGCAGTTGTGACTCCGCAGGTAATTTTACCTGGGCAGCGAGTACGCAAAGAGGTCGCTGAAGGATTTCCTCCTGACTGCCTTATTGGGGTAAGCAAACGTGGTTGGATGACTGCTCATAACTTTGCCGAGTACATAAGAAAAGACTTTCATCCTTTTCTTGTCAAAGAAAATGTACAGTTCCCAGTGATATTTTTTGTGGACGGTCACATTTCCCATAAGGTCCTGGAAGTGGTGGATTTATGCCAATCGTTGGGTATTATATTAATTGCATTGTATCCAAATACTACCCACATTACGCAATCGTGCGATGTTGCCGTTTTCAAGCCACTTAAAGATAAATGGAGGCAGGTTGTGGAGGAATGGCGGTTGGCACACTATGGTGAAGTATTCACGTCGCTTCATTTTGGCAAACCGTTGGCATTATTAACGGCTTCCGCGTTTGTGGGTTGCATCCTTTCAATCCGGACAAAGTAGATTACTCGAAATGCTTAGCTCAATAGGTAAATGTTCCAGCTGTACTGGACGTAGCAGAGACCATCGATACAGCTGCTCATGATGTCGATATAGATACTACCTGTCTCGATTGCCACGGCCTTATGGATGCAACAGAGCCAAATCCACCAACGCTGGACAATATGGATCTGCCAAGAGTGCTACAAGCTCTTCCTCCGCAATCAACATCACCATCATCGCCAAGCATTTCACCGTTCCTGTAGATGACATCATTCAGCAGTTGACATGATTGGTTGTCAGACAATGCAAAAGATACAAGGCAATGTATCTAATCTTACTCGAGAGGAACGTATCATTCGATTCTTTTTTCTCAAGTTCGTACAACCGTGTATTAATGCAACCAGCAACTTCACGCCAGAAGAAAGCTTCGGATTGGTAGATCGTTCAGCAAGATACGAAATAACAGGACAATCGCAGGATTACTATTGTGTTTCTCATACCGAAATAACGGCGATTGAGAATGAGATATGTGAAACTATTCACAATGACGGTAATAACATGTAAATTTGAAAATTATTTATTTATTATAAATCATTGTTTACTTGAATTTTCACTTGATTTTTATCCTATAGACTCTGGTGGATCCTTACATTCAAACTTGATTGAAGAAGGATCAATAATTTTTGAATGCGTATTAGCTGACAATATAAGTCTGCCACAGGCTCAGCATGGACCAACAGAAACCGTGGTAACTGAAAGTCAAAACTTGCTCAACAATGATTTTGTTGAAGGAGTCGAGAGTGGTAATACTTTAAATTCAATAATTACGTATTCAAAACTATAGCCGGCGCCGGTGGTGCAGTGGTAAGCGTGACTGCTTTCTAATACTCCAATGGGTCTGAGTTCAATCCCAGCCGAGGTCGGTGGGATTTTTCTGAGGCATAAAAATCTCTGGTCACGTTTTCCTTCGGAAGGGAAGTAAAGTCGTTGGTCCCGGCCCATGTGTGTTGAATGGGTGCGATATCATACGCAGGTGTGGAAGCTGCCTTTCTGCACATTCGATTACCGTCAATGGATAGTAATCGATGTCCGTCGGTGATTGCGGAACAGAGACCGACGTTGAATAAAGGAAAGAAAGTATTCAAAACTAATATGAAATCTATTTAATATATCCAAGGAAATAGCGTAAAACAGCAGTTTTACGATACAGGCGATAACAATCATACCGAGACTCTACCAACAATCAAATGGCATAAAAGAGGAACTTATCTGTCAATCGATTGGTAATCAAAATCTGTTTATACTGATTGCGAAACTTCATCTGTTTTCTTTATAGATAAAACAAGCAGGAAAGAACAACTTTAGGAAAGGCATTTTTTACAAGATGTCAGTAACAGTCCGGCATCGAAACAGATAAGCTTATCTGATGTTCATGGTCGTTGGTATCAATATAAATTTGATTATTGCCGGGGTCGTTCTACAAATACAATTCTACGCACGAATTGTAGCTCCCACACACAGATTGTTTGCAGTGAAGTCAGTACCAAATTCTCATCGGCTTCTTCTATGTAAAACATAAGGTCTGTAGGGTTTTGTATTTTTGTATGTGAAAAATTGATGACCAACAATGTTACAGCTGCTGCTGTTGCAAAAGAAGGTTTTCCAATAAGGGAATATTGATATATGTTAAATCATATATATTCTTTTCTGTGACTCGCGCATGTGCCAAGAATAAAATAGTGGAATAAAATGGAAATGACATCTCCTCTCATTCCCATCATAGGTATTCCACTAGAGACGCCCACATTCATGAATTTAGATGAATTTGTTTCAAAATCTGCGAGATTTCATTGCACCTACATAGAATTAGAGAATGCTTCGCTTCGTCAAAACTGGTACTGAAGCTAGAAGTTTATAATCTATTTTTTTACGTTTTCGGTACAAATTAAACCCATTTCAGATCTTTTTATTGTTCAGAATCGTTTAAACTTCAATTTAATTGTATCAGTTGCTGCACAACTAGGGCGTTTCGATTTTATAAAATTTAAAAAGTAAATATGCTCACTAACTAGTGCCAAAACTGGCTCATCTACCCTAATTAAATAGAGTTTGCATCCAAGACATGACCGTTGATTTCACGTAGGACTACGAAAGGAAGTTTTGATGTCACAGCAAAAGTATAGTAAATAATGAATTGATTTCTTAACTCGTTATCAGTGAAAAATTTCGATAGGTTGAAATTCGGAAGCAATTTGAGAGTTCTGTTTTTGAGGTGCTCTGTCGGTGTCCATGTAGTACAGGCCAATCCTGGACGATTTGTCTTGGATACACGCTATTACTTTTTAGCTAACTATTTTATCAGTCATTCGTGGTCTTTGAAAAGACTGATGGGTTTGAAGCTTTGAAGCCAGTTTAGAACAATGCTGTAGATATTTTTACTCGATGTTCTTAGGAATGATAGTGGTGCGGAAATGAAATATTTATTAGGGAAAACACATCAATTACAGAATCTGAGCATACCGGACGGTACCTACATTTATACAAATTTTAAACCCCTTCTATTAAGAGAATTTGGCAAGATTTTTTAAGGATATAATTTCCTTAATATGAGGGGCTTAAAATTTGCATCCAAAGGCATAAAGATAGGTACCGTATGGCACGCTCAGTGCTCGGTATCAATATTCGGCGACTGTGTTAGGGAAACCACTTTGCCCCCTACGGAAACGCCTCGTTTTCTGATGACTGATTCAATAGATAATAAAAAAAAAAGCAAAAGTTGTTTGAAGGAATTTTTGCTAAATTTTTTCCAACCGCGAGATATTCGCGAAAAATCATATAGATTCGAGATTTTTTTTTACTTTTTCTAGCATCCTGGAGAAAACTATGCGGAGACATGGTCATGTGGTAGTCGGTCAATGCGAGAATTTGTATGTACCACTTCAATACTTGACGCATTTGGCCACAAACGTTTTGTTGCTGGGTACATTATCAAAGAAGTTTGGGGGTGATGTGGCTGGCAGCAAGGCGAGCGAATGAAATGAAAATTAACTCTTAAACAACAATAATTTATAGTGGTCTTGAAAAGGGCCGTTCTGTTGTGATGGTTGAGTAATGCTGAGCTATTAGGGTGTTCAACACGGATGAGGCTGGCGAGCTGTATGTTGTTTGGAAACTAGGGTGACGCGCTTGGCATATATGGCCTACAGCGGCTCACGACGCGCAACTGAATCCGATCAGCTGTTTGAGGGCAGCCTCGATAGTTAGCAGCTTGTGGAGAGCCTTTCGTTGTGTACTGAAGAAAACCACCACTCACCACACGCGGTGATTGAATAAACGCCGTTCGGTGAGATCGGATGGAGTTCAATTTTTAAATCTGTGTTAGGGAAAGCACTTTTCACAGGCAATCGGTGATAATTCTTATTATCATAGCAACAGTTGCACAATCGTGTATTTTTCAATAGTGACATTTTGAAAAATGATGAATCTCTGATTTTTAAAATCCATCATCGCTGGATCAAAATCAGACCACTTTCATGCTACGAGCGACTTTGGTTTCTGAAATTGCACCGCCAATGTTGCCTTAAATTTTTGCCATAGTATGTTAGATTTAAACATATAGAAACTGACATCCGATTGATTACCTTGATAAATGTCAAAAAAAAAATACTCTTTATCAAATTTATTGTGGTTTTGAAAAGGACCGTTTTGTCGTGATGGTTGAGTAATTCTGAGCTATTAGGGTGTTCAACACAGATGAGGCTGGTGAGCTGTATGTTGTCGGAATGAGGGTGACGTGCTTGGCATAGATGGCCCACAGCGACTCACGAAGAGCTACTGATTCCGATCAGTGGCGGTGCTTCTTCCTGCTTCTTCGGTGAATGGAAGCTCATGTGGGCTGCAGATCGCTGCTTGCGGGCTGCCTTTCGTTGTGTACTAGAGAACAGCGTTTAACGCCACGCGCCGAAAGCACTGCTGCTGTTGATGACTACCGACCGGATACCGAGTTGGAAACCACCACACACATGGAATAAACACCGTTCAGTGAGACCGGATGGAATTTGATTTTGAAATCTGTGCTAGGGAAAGCACTTTTTTCAGGCAATCGGTGATAATTTTGATCATCATTGTAACAGTTGTACATTTGTGTAATTTTCAATAGTGACCTATTGGAAATTAATAAATTGTTCATTTTAACAAATTCGTAGAAAAAATACCAATCGATTGGCTCTTTTAGAATTAACATCCATCCGCTATTGATAGAATTATTTGTGGTCAAAACCTGACCACTTTTCGTAATGCGGTCAATTTTGGTTTTTTTTTTTAAATTGCACTCCCAATATGTTGCCGAAAGACGTAATTATACGTCAAAAAATTATAACTGTTTGCACAAAAGTGTATTAATACATGTTTATCAAAGTCTCAGGAAACAAGTGGAATTATGGCGTGCGAGAGGATCATATCCCTTAATAGCGTTTAAAGTATGAGAAATGCGGTTTTTTTTTTAATAAAAACTTAATTAAATTAATAAAATCTCAAAAAATTTCAGTGAAAACACCATTATTGTGTAAATATTTTAAAAGCTCTGGCTTTTTTCTTTCCACACCCGTTTAAAAACCACAAAATTTTTAAGAAGA